CATTACTTCCTTCATTATTCAGCAGCTGATCTTTTATCGAGTGTTTTAAGACATAAAACATGTCTTAGCATAAATAGGGAGGTAAAAAACAATTAAATTATGTACCCTGATTTCATACTTCTCATTACTTCTAGTTCATTTTAGACTCATTGTTTTTGGTTGGATCTTGAGACAAATTTATTGCAAAGCAATTCCTATAACCATCTCAGTTTTAATTTTCTTATTCAAAAGATTTTTAATTTTTTTAAATCATTTTAAATTAAAAATCTCCATTGTAAAATCATAGAAGTGGATCACTGAATGTAGTTGAACCAACCTGTATGCAACAGCGATTGAAGGCTGCATGTATCTGCAATTGTGTGCTATTAATTCCACTAAGAGTTCACTAGCTGTTTGATCATCATTTCAACATGGTATTTAATAATTTATTTTTGCTGTGCAAAATGCGAGACTGTGTGCATGCACAGATGCTCACATGTGCACACAGACATACACACATGCAGAGTACCCATTTTGCGTTTCTAGCATCTCATTGATTCTCAGATCTCACTGGCATGCATTTTTGCATTAAGAACTATATACCTTTCGAAAATGCTTGGATCTAGGTAGAAGAAATATAGTTAGTAAGTATATTGTTTATGGCATTCCCATCTACTTCAAATATAGGCTGAAAAGTGAAGAGTGGATGGGGGGAAAATTCTCTGCTGGAAAAAAACTCCTTCTATGCTATTGCCAAGTTTTAACCCAGAGGGAATTTCTAGCCCTAAGTTATAAATTCCAGAAAATAGCGGCCTATAATAGAAACACTGACAGAACCTTAACTATAGCATTGCTAAAGGCAATGCTGCAATAAAATGGAATGACCTGTGAGATAAAATGTTTAATCTTTTGAGTGAGATGTGGCCCAATAACTCAGAAGCAGAGATGGGGGATGATTCAGGCTCTTTCTTGCAGCCTCTTATATGCCCTTTATGAAATTCACTGTCACTCTCAGCTGCTTTTCCCTTTCAGGCTGAATCCTGTTTCACTCCACAGCCAAATGGACTAGAAGGGTCATAAAGAACCAATTTATGGCCCCTAACTTTTCAGAAAAAAACTATTTTTCAAAATGTAAATTAATGGCAACAAAAGCGGAAGGATCAGGAAAAACACCTTTGCACATGACAAGAATAACAGAAAGAGAGAAATGGGTGGTACAGATGTGGGTTTGAGTCTCTCTTCTGTTTCTCAATACTGTCTTTCCAAAAGAGTAAATCAGCGCTTGAGCCTCCCTTTATTTCACTGCAAACAGCTTTGTGAAACTCCTTCTTCTCAAATAAAAGTCTAAATCTTGTTCTGGTGTGTTTGTATATCACAAGAGGGGTAAACAAAACTCCTGCGTATTAAAACATAGACTCCAAGATTTTTTAATTACATGATTGATATTAATTTTATGCGACATGTTTGCCTGTGCTAGCAGGTGGAACTGGGCATAATGACCTGAAAGGTCTCTTTAAATGCTACGTCTCATCAAATGAAGAAAGGTGTAATCGCTAGGCCTGTAGTGATCTCTCTCTGGTCAAAAAGCTCAGATTAGTTAGAATTCCACTTATTCAAACAATGGTCTAAGCCAGGACAAGGGAATGTCACCATCACTACAGAGGCAGAGCCTGTTTCTTTCTGCAGATTTTCCATTTTAAGTTTATTTGCTATCATAGAAGCAAAAGACCTACTCTGTCTCAGATTGCTTCTTATCACTGAATGCTTCCACCTGAAGAATCTGTTTTAAAAGCAAGGTTATATGAAAGTAAATTCTTTGAAAGTCTGTGGGTAATTTTTCAACCTGGTACATAAGAAATTAGACATGTCCCATTAAAACCAGCTGGAATTACGTATGTAATTCTTTGCATACCACCCAGAAAACTTATCCAGAGCCTCTTGCCACTTCTGTTTCCCAAACTTTCCTAAGGCTAAAATCACTATGAAGAACATCTGGGCTCTGTTCTTTGGGGATTTCTATTTTATTCTATCAATATTTTCCCTTGTTTTAACACATGAAAATTGTAATTAGATATTCCCATATTAGGCATATGGGAACATCCATTGTAGATGATGCTCCCAAGAAAATCTGGTTTGTGAATCTCCTGTGCTTGCCATTATTATACCTGTCATTTCTGATTCAGTAGCATTTTGCACCTGTCAGTCATAGCTAAATGAGGTGCATGTATTGAGGATGCATTTGCTTGCTGTCCCAGTGCTTATACTTTGTCAGGATTGCACTGGACCCTGCAGGATTGATTTACAAATATGCTCCCAAATATTTAAGGCAAAAAAAGAAATCACCCAGTGGTATCCGTAAATGTACAAAAGAGTGAGGCTACAGAAGTTAAAAAATAAAGGTTATTATCAATATTTCATGTTAATGATAAATAATAAAACATTTGAAAGATAATTAAAAAATCGAGGATTCATCAGTATTCAATAAGAGTTCCTAAATATATATACATCAATATTTATTTTAATAATTATTATGCATACATACATATGTGTGCCTACATGCAAATATGTATACATATATGTAAAAATATATGTGTATATTTTTGCAGGCAACTGAGGCAAGCTCAGAATGGGCAAATTGGCCTTAAACATTTTATTATCATAATGGAATTATATATAGATAAGCTAATTAAACCAAGCCGAGGTCATCTACAGTTGTACAGTTCAGCATTTTTGTCTGTTGTAAAACACTGCCTCAGCTGAGGGACATAAATTATGCCAACCCATTCCTTAAACAGAAACCTTATTTCTTCCTGTTAATTTGGTCAGGTCCATCAATCCAAAAGCAACCTTTGACCATTTTTTGATTCAGCTGATTTGGGCTGAGCAGCATTATGGAGGTTTATATGTCCTTTCCTGCTATATGTGGTCAGCACAGTAATATACAGAGTTACCTTCTGCCTTCATAAATTGGAATTAGTCAGTGTCAAGATTGGAAAATTATCTTTTCACCTAACTATATATGTATGTATTAAGTGGATCTGTTGAAAATATGAAAGCTCTATTTCAATAACTTTTTCTATATGTAAACCCCTTCACCCAAACCGCTTGGTAATATACTCCTATTAGAGATTGATTTACTCCTATAATAATAATAATGTTTTATTCCTATAATAACAATAATAATAATTTTTTTTCTACTTTACTAGAAAAATCTACTGCAAAGTATGTAAGTGGAAGGAGCTCAGTTTTTACCCTAAGCTTATCCAGAAGAATGGAACTGGATGATCTTATACATAAGCAAAACATTAGATGCCTAGACTTTTATAAATTGAACAGGCTGCATTGCAGTTGAATGTATGATACGGTTTGCAATTCCCTTCAATTTACATAAGATAGTTTTCAGTGTTGAAATAAGGGTTTAAAAGAAGTAGATGGACTTAGTTTGATCGGTACTCTGTGTTTCCTTGTTTTATGTACTTATAATATAATGACAAAAGCCAGTTCTAATCAGTGTCAATGTGTTTATTTCTCATGTAGACCAGTGTGCTATTCACTGAAGATCTGATTGAAATTGATTTCTGATTTTTACCTGATGCAAAGGCAGAAATACATAACTTACTTGCTTTCAGACTACAGCTTTCAGATCAGTTGTTGCTTTCCATGTTTTGCTTTGTTTTTTTTGCTTTCAAAAAAGTAAATCTTTTGAAATTATTATAAAAAGGAATTAAAATGTATATTAAAATTATATCCTAGTTGATCTTGCAATAAAATTTTACAATTTAATATGTAGACAGTTTTCATTGATAGACATCTATCTAAAAATTTCATTGTCTTCTGGAATAAGATTCATTGTGTTCAGTCAATCAACTTCAATTTATCATACCTGAACCTCAAAGTTCACCTCCAATAATGATGTGCTACCCAGATTCTCTCAAAATGTTGCACAGGTTAATTATAACATGCACACATGTTGGTGCTGTATGGAAAGAAATTAGTAGTTCTGACTTCTGTGTCAAATAATATTTTTTTTGACATACATGGAAATAGATGACTCTGCAATTAATACAGAAAAATATTGAACTATGGAACTAGATCATAACCATAGGAGTCACAGCAGAAAAGCCTGCAAAATTTCTGTGTTCAGCAAAGAGCTAGTGCAAGTGTATCTCAATAAATTCTCTATTTGAGAAAGCAGTTTTTATTAAGCTTATGTGGAGTTTTCTGAAATGAACTGTGTATGTGTGTTCATGTGCACATATTTGTGTGTGTTACACAGACGGGTGTTTGTACGATTTTTGGCATATTGCATGTGGCAGGCTGCTGAAACATGAATAAAGACAGTAGGAAAGAAGCAATGCACATCCTTCTCCTAATCAAGGGAAGGGATTGCTGCAGACTTCCCTTGTGTCAAATCCCAAGGTTCACCCAGAAGCTCTCAAGATAATTTTTCAGCCCCTAGATTTTCATGTTGAAATATCTGTCTTGTTTTCTAAATGAACTTATTTCTTATTTTATTTAAACCACATGAAGTACATGTATTTGACTTCCTAACGGAATGCAGTATTTAGTAATTTCAGTATGCACAGCTGTGAAAAGGTGAAGCATATTTTGTGAGCATAATTTGGGGGTAATTTTAAATGGCATACATTTTTCTCCAACTCTTTTCCACAGCCTGAAGCTGGAAACATAAAGTGCAGCTCATATGCTCTTTACAATTTACTCCTGAGAAACACTGACCACAAAAGTCAGTAAACATTCATCATGAGCTTTAGGCTACTTTCCTTGGATTTGGCCTCAGGCTAAGCTAAGGGCTAAAAACATTTCATGAGGGGGTTACAGTTTTAAGAAAAATAAATATATTGCTACTACAACATGGTTACTCAGCTTGGTCTCATGCTGGAAAAATTCTTTCTCCCAACAAATACACACAATTTTATGTTATCCGTCTGTCACATTATAACAGATACTGTGGTTGTAAATCACCAATATGCTAATCAACATAGCTGTTGTGACCTACTTACCACATATTTCTGCCAGAGCTTCCCATAACATGTCACATTGAATCCACTCTGAGAAGTACAAACCAGATATACTTCAACCCATTTAGCACAGAGATTCTGGGGAAGGAGAAAAAAATAGAGTACAGCAAAGCAAAAAGCTAGGTCAAGTTCTCTGGTTAATCTTGGGCTTCTGTGACATAAAGCCGTGTTTGCCACCTTGTACTGCCATAAGCAATGACATGATTTCTCATGAAAAGGGCTACACATAGAGAAAAGAAAGCCCCCATCCAATTTTATTTCCTGTATCACAGAGAAAACTTGAAAGATTCCTCACTGAATGGTTGTTTGCCTCAGTGCTGTTACTGATCTCTTTAAGCTAAACAATATCTGCTTACAATAAAAGGATTGTTGATTCAAAAATTGATTGCATTTTTAATCTTTCATCTCCCTTGTAATTTTTATTTAGTATTCAACCCTGTCTGAGGAAGGTCTTTCTACCTGAATGAAACAAAAATACATCAGAAGGAATGATATGAAAATATATACTTTTCTAGAGATTTAATAATGTGTTCAGAAGGTATTTTAATTGTTCTTTTTGTTTTATTTTAAGTCTAATTTTGTATCATTAATGCAGGAAAATAAAATGTCATGGAATTTATTCATCAAGATTCCTCTTATTGTTAATATTCAGTTTAGACAGTAACATCAATCAGTGACCTTACAGCATGAGGGAAAGGAGCTAAAATAGATTATAACACCAAGTGCTACATCAGGTCATCTAATTGATGTTACTGGGGACCGTAACATTGTACTCTTTTTGAAGTACTGTCTAGGATACTACAGATGTCAAGGACAGAATAATATTATCCTAGATTACATAAAATGCAAGAACTTGAAAGTTTCTACCTGCAGTGAGGATTTCGTAGCAGAGTTTTACAGGAAATACCTTTAAACCTGCTGCCCTACCCTAGAGAACTCTCCCTTCCTGAGTTCTCTGAGAGTTTCCATTGCACGCATATAGAATCATAGAATAATAGAATAGTTAGGGTTGGAAAGGAGCTTAAGATCATCAAGTTCCAAACCCCCTGCCATGGGCAGGGACACCTCACACTAAACCTTGCCATCTAAGGCTTTGTCCAACATGGCCTTGAATACCGCCAGGGATGGAGCATTCACAACCTCCCTGGGCAACCCATTCCAGTGCCTCACCACCCTAGCAGTAAAGAACTTCTTCCTTATATCTGAGAAGAGCAGATTAGATTGTACTTAGACAAAATTTTATAGAATTGGAATCACTGTTATTGAGGGAGGATTGCAAGAGTACCTGAAAATAATAATTACGGTAACAGCTGAAAAGTTCACTGTCCCTTGAAAAAAATGCACAGTTCCTCTTCAAGTAACTTCTTATTCTGGCCTTGATAGAAATCCTCAGTGCTGAGGAGTTAAATACTGTTTTCTACTGCAGACATGTAACTTCCAGTGAAAGAAAGAGAGATTCACTTAGGCAGCCAAAAGCATAACTTGTCTCGCTGTCTCAAATGGAGTGCTTTAAACTACACTGCAATAATCACAGATGCTCTGCTCTTGGCAGAATGGGAAAAGCTTGATACAGATTCACAAAATAGCTCCATTAGGTAAACACGCCATCAGTCTTTATTACCTCTATTATCTTAAAGCAAATTTTACCTAACACAATCTGGAAATAAACTTACAAAAAGTCTGAGGAGTAAGCTATGAATTAATGCAAAATGACTAAGTACTGAGGCCCAGTAAGCTTAATCCTAATCAACACCAAAGCAACAAATAGGAGTCAAAGATGTAGACAGCACCATGGTAATTTGTTCCTGTGACTAGAGTATCAAAAATAAGGGTTTATCATGTCAGCATCGGCTAGTGAGTTTAAATGTATGCATAGCTTATGGTTGACATTTGTTCAAAGTAACTTTTTATGAGGAACAGTTGAATATTACAGTTTTGTCCTCCTAATTCCATTTAATTTCACACATTATGTCCAACTTCTTCATATTTTTTTGGCATCCTTATAAAGACAAAACTGCATGGGTTTGTTTTCTGTTTGGGTTTGTTTTTTTTTTTTCAAAAAAAAATCCACCTAATTTTACAGAAAGACCAATTCTTTCACTCCAATGTGCATTCCAGTTCTTTCACTCCAATGGTCAATCACAAGATAAATTTCCATATGGCCTAACAGAATTTTCTTGGATTCCCTGAAAGCTTCTATAACAGCAGGATGATCTAAAGAAGCATGCTGAGATACTTTAAATTCTGTCTTCTCTTTACAGCCCAAATGATATGCCAACATGTTAGAAGAGTTATTCCTCTGTCACAGGAAACTTTCATGAAGAGGGAGAAATATATTTTGAGTTGAGCGTATCAGAATACCTTCTACTGTCCTACATCAACTACTGTTTCCAGTTACACTCTGGCTGTGTAACCAAGTCACAACTTGGTTTTATTACTGTATTTCCACTCATGAAAAATAAGGTGGAGCAAATTTTAAAGTGGTGGTATTAACAGATAAAATTCCATAAGTGTAAATGGTGCAAAGCTGATTTATTCTAGGAAAGGATGGGAGGACCCAAGGAATAAGTTACAGTACTTGCTTTACAGAGTCCAGCAGCTGACTGAAGTTTTTCTGACCTAAAGAAAAAGCCTTCAGATGAATTCAAACAGGTGGGAAGTGAAGAAAATACCTGTGGGATCTATCACACACTGTATATTTTGAGCACTGTACGATTACTGCACCTAGTGATACCAGAGTCCATATGCAGGGCTCTTGAGTCTGTATGTGATAGCGTACCATTACGTTCAAGGGAAAACAGCTCTAATGCTATCTAGATTGCTCAGAGTCTTACTAGAGATAACATGCAAAATAATGCCTCTGAGCCTAAGGACATGATTTTACACATTCCTAGTGTGTTACCTAAGTCCATTACTAAGAATGCATTCTGGCAATCTTCCTTTGAGGATGAACAAATACTACAGGGAACATGCTACATGCCAGACAAACAGCCTTAGATTCAAGTCCTGCCAGATGAATATGTTGCCTTTTATGTATTTGAAATGCATTTTAAATCCACAGCAGCATATTGCAATAGGATCATGATGGGCCTATGATCCTATTAACAAAGCCAAAAAGACCTTAGGAAAAAGGTTCTACTTTTATTTATTTATTTTCAGCACTTGCTTGCATATGCTGTTTTAGCTCACTTCTTAGGGTGAAGGTTTTTCCTGATTGAAAATGAATGTGGAAGTCTATTAATGAAAGATAATTTTTTTCAAAAGGTTGATACAAGTATGGGAAGCTAGCAAGAAACAGAGTTTTAATGCAGCATGGCAATATGAGCCAGATGGCCACAATAAGGAAGTTGGATCTGTGTCTGGATGTGAATAATAGCTATATGTAAACCCAGAGCTCTTAACAAAGAAAGGATGCACCTCTGTTCAAAGATGGTTCCAATCTACATGAAGACTTTGCTCACAACAGTGATTTTGGCTTGATCTCAGCCCCACACATATATTTACATTTAACACACCAGTGAGTCGCAATAGGACTTCTTAAATTGCAACACCATAATCCTCATCATTTTCTACTGACAAACCATCCAACTACCACAAAATGACTGTTTCTATTGAGGAATAGCATGCTAATTATTTAACTGCAGTAGTTATTTAACTACTCTTTTATTAGCACATTCCCCCATTTCACCACTTTCACTCTCTCGGGGTCAAATTCTGCACTCTTTAATTAAGAAAAAGCTTTTATTAACAACAATATATTTTTTGTGGGCAGATATTACATATTCGATCACATATTCTATCTGTGTAAGCAATGGTGATAGCTGTCCTCTGCCTTTCATTTGCATTTCTGAAACCCTCTCTTCAGGTTGGTACTACTTTAATCTTAAATATATTTCATAGAATCACAGAATCATAGAATCAACTAGCTTGGAAAAGATCATCAAGTCCAAGACCACCACTAAAACATATCACTGAAGACCTCACCTACACGTTTTTTGAACACTTCCAGGGACGGTGATTCCACCACTTCCCTGGGCAGCCTGTTCCAATCCCTGATCACCCTCTCAGTGAGGAAGTTTTTCCTAATACCCAGTCTAAACCTTCCCTGGCACAGCTTGAGGCCATTACCTCTTGTCCTATTGCTTGTTACTTGGGAGAAGAGACTGACCCCCACCTCACTACAACCTCCTTTCAAGTAGTTGTAGGGTGCTGTAAGATCCCCCCAAGCCTTCTCTTCTCCAGACTAAACATCCTCAGTTCCCTTAGATACCAGTCTTTTCCCATCACTTGACTGCAAACAACCCCTTTTTCATGGAACATAAACATCACAGACTACATTGTTTTGTCCTTGAATTACTTTAAAGAAATTTATGTGAAACAAATCGAAATTTGTGAAACTAGTGATTAAGTAATAGCTGCAAGAAGATGGCAGTGTTTTCAGGTGCAGTGAATACAGTAGTAGGAAATGTGATTCAGAATAATTTGAAATGCCTTTCAGAAGCTGCAGATAGTTTGCACACCCTCTTCACTACATCAGAACCATCATATATATATATATAAAAAAAATCAGGTTTACACATAAATATATGATATGTTTATTGTAGAAAACACAAAATTTTATTTACTATCTGAAGTTTCACCCTGTTCCAGTTGACCCGTTTGCCGCTGAAAGTGTATATTTTTCATGAAGTTACCCGGAAATGGTCAGGTTGAAGTCTACTTTGAGGCTGGATAGTTCACTGGTTTCTTTTAAGTTCTCATCAACCATCTGTAACCAGAATAAAGCACACTTACTACAGTGACTAAACAGTATTGAATTTCACTGTGCCACTGCACAGAATTATAATATGTTCAAGGTACCTCAGCAAATCTCTGAGATCCTGTTACCATACTTTGTTGTAATAATTAGATAAACTTGTGAATAAGAAAAACATTACTAAATTTATATTATCAGGGAACGTTTATTATATTTATGTTCCTTAAAATCAAGCAGAAGACATTTAGTTTTTATACTGTATTAGTCATTACCGATTTGTTTGGTGGGTTTTTTTTCCCCAAACTTGTCTGCATACAGCCTT